ATGTACTTATTTTGTCCATATGCTGCCATTTTTAGTTTAGACAGCCAGACTTTATAGAGCTGTGTTGCGGGCTGGTAGCACTTCTCCCATTATCCAAATCCTGCCAAACTGCAATCTTTTGTATCTGTTTTGATGGTTTTCTTAAGCTTTCTCTGTTTTTTAAAGCTTTGTTTGTCAACCCACAGCCCTTCATCTCTAAGTCATTATCCAATAATAATTCACAGTTTCTATCCTAGCCATTAATTCTAATTTTCAAACAGTAGTTTTTGAAGATTAGCTAAATTAAATCATTTTAGCAATTAGTGTCAAGTTAATATATAATGGAAAGTAGGTAATGGCAGAGGTAGAAGCACTTAGATTTTGACAGATATCCTCACTGGGTTTAATGCTTTTTATAATACCTCTTTAAGTGAGCAAAAAGCTCACCTTCTGACTTTCCCCCTCACACTTGGGCCTCTAGCTGCACAGACAGAGTATCTTTTGATTATAAGGAAACCTCAATCTCTTTTTACATTTCTCTGTCCTGAAAGATAGTGTTGTTAAGGGTGGATACATTAAAAATATTTTACTATTATCAAACCTCATCTCTGCCCCTTGATAGCTGTTATAGCTGACAAATCCCTATAGGTCCTAACATAAAAAAATTACTATAAAAAGATTTTGTAAGCTTGGTAATTTTGTACAGATAGATTAAAAAGAAGCCAAATGATCCCAAGGCCATGGCAGACTATAATGCAGTGCCGGTTGTTCAGATTAAAATAAGGGAGCAAAGATAATTTATCCATTTCTGCTTTTGGCCATAAAATAAATCTGTGTCCTAAGTGCTTTAATTTGTGCTGCCCAAATCTGGGTGGATCTTTGACCCATGTGGTTAAACCACACACACAGAGATTTAAAAACTATGGCATGGTAAATGTTTTGGAACTGGTCATATCCTGCTGTTCTATTAAAACCCCCACAGAAAATTAGAAGACCTAGTGAGCTGAAAAAAAACCCGAAAACAGACCAACAGAACAGAACAAAAACTAATCCCAGACTTGGAAAACTAATTGCTATGATCATAAACATGCAGGATCCTAGGATTAAAGATAAGGATAGGCATGGTAAGGTGTAGAGGCCTCAGTCTTTACATTTTATATTACAGGTAAGGACTTACATGAGGCCTTACATTGAGGGGCAGCAAGATCTTCATTGGGCAAGCAGAGTTGTGTCCTTCTGCACATAACGCATATATCTTGGCTATTGCTGCACTGTCTGTTGCACCTTTGTGGCAGAAGATGCCACCCTATTGCACAGGCTGCAGGACAAATAGTCACCTAGTTCTCTTCTGCTCTAGTTTACGCTTACCAGCACAAGTTGAAAGCTGGGGCAATTTAAATTAATTAATTACTAGCTTAATGGGTAAAGCCTTTTCAAACAAGTAGACAAAGAAGTAAGCTTGACAATCACTTCTACTGCCTCAGCTAAATCAGTAATAATGAATCACAGCCTTTGGATCTTTTAAAAGATTCAATCTTTTTACAGTTAAGGCTGAAATGCATAAAATCTGTGCAAATGCAGTTCTACTCTCTTCATGACCTTGACCAGGCAGGATCACAGCCTGCAACACTGCTCCTTATTACCCCATTCATTCAGGAGCCTGCAAGTTCTGAGCAAGGACTAGGTTTTTTTTTTTTTTTTTTTTACAGTGAGGCCTTGGCTTTATGTAGAAATACTTAAATGTTTACTATAATAGAAATCAACACCACCAACTTGTTATTTTAGGAATTAATTTAAATTCAGTAAAAATGACACTTTTGCAGCTATAGACCACGTATGAGCCTAACAAACCCGAAATACTACCACGTCTTTGAAACACCTGCCAAGAATATACTCTATATTTAATCCTGTCATTTATTTAATATTGAGCTAAATGTCTGAGTACTTCAATGATTAATGGGATCTCTGAGCATGAGGATGTTTCCCTCTTACACTGTTGCCTTGTTGTTTGTTCCTGTTGATAGAAAACACCTAAATCATCTTAGAGACTCAAATGCCAGTTGTGGATATCAAACTTGTTCTGGTAGTAGCATTGAAAAGCACTGTCAAGAATGAGAGCATTGGAGTGTCCCAGTCCCTATTAGAGAATTAAAAAGCAGAAGTCCATTMGTTGTATCTCAGTCTTTAATTTATCCGCCCCAAATGCAAAAGAAAGAGAATTCCAGCAATGAGCCTTCTACAGTGAAGCACTCTAGACTACTGCCTTCAATTTGCAGTGCATTTCCCAACTGGCAAACTAGATATTACTGAATATGACTCATCAAGATTAAAAAAGAAAGATAATTTAGTCAGAGCTGTTGTCAAGTCACTGTTTAATCTTATTTTTTGTATTTGCTGTGATAAGCATTAAAATTTGCACACTCCTTGATAAATCATTGTTTAGCAGTGCCTAGAAGGTCCAGTAAGTGGTTTMAAATTGCCATAGTATAATAAATGGTTATTTGATAATGAATGAAATTGTTTGAAAATACTGTTAAAATGTCAAGTTTTAACACACAGAACATTACTCAAAAGGAGTGCAAACAGGGAAACTATAGTGACACCATAAATATACTGCCACAGATGCATTTATTTGTACAGGGCAAATAGTAACTGCAATATACAAACCAGTATAAATTGATATATGAAGTTAATTTCAATCTGTAAAGTAATTGCATTGGTTTAACTTATTTAACTCTCCTTACAATAATATTTATAGCAGTGCAAGAAAGTAAAGAAATAAATGATGATAAATAGATAAAATACATAGGAAATGGGAATTGTTTTCCAGTTTAATTACACTGTCACATAAAATTATCACAGAAATACACTATGCCAACAGGAAGAATACATTAAAATCCCATTATGCTGTACAGAATTGGATAGCTCTTATTGCTGTTTATTCCATAAATAGATTTTTATCTTTTCAACTATTGTGAAAAGTTGAACTATGTAAAAAAAACCACATAGTGCAAAATAACAATATAAAATGTGGTGATTGACAGTTAACTTGTAGCGTGAAGATGAAAAGCAAAAATGTGATAGCCTTCTTTGCAAGAATAAACTTGATCTCACTGTAACGTTTCAAGAGGAAAGAAATGTCCACTCAGAGTTCACCTTCTTATTTTTTCTCAGATGCATTTCTGGCTGCAGAAGTTTGCATATCTATAGCTTCCATACAACATGCCCACTTCCTGGGCTATGGAGCACTATCATAATTACACTACAAGCAGAACAAACAGGCAGGCAAATATTTTTTTCCTTAACCAATTGTGGTTCATTATTTTCAGAATGAACAGCATTAATGCTTATATTTTATCTTTCTGCCATCTGGATGAAAACAAAATGGCAGCCTCACTAAAGGCAGGAAGATGCCCATTGATCTCTCAGTAGGACTTGATTCTTTTTCTTTCATATCCATTTTATTTCATACAGTTGAAGCTCGTTGTGCTTGAAAATAGGTATCTCTGCTCAGAATACAGATAAAAACAGTGTAATGTCACAGTATGTTTTAATAATACGGCAACATTATTTTGACCTCTGATTTGATGATAAACCTTGCTTCCCCCCCCCCAGTGTGACTAAGTGGAAGATGAGTCTTTAATTCACTTGAAAGAACTGACCTTCAGTATGTCAATAAAAATCTGGAAAACATGACTTTTGGTGCCCCCAAAACTCAGAGGCAAACATTAATTATAGATGTACTTTAAGTATTATTTTTAACACCATTTTAACACCATTTTAAACTCCATCTTTGGAGTCTGACTGACAAGATTTGATCACTGAGAAGGAAGAGTACTCTGAGTAAAAGGGAAATATGGAATAGCCATAAAGAGAATAGTGGATGAAAACCTCACCCAAAAAGATAAGGCAGCTTCCTGAGTTAGATGTGAATTAGGTCATCAAAAATATTCCTAGTGATTGTCATTCTTGGGTAAGTTAAATGAATAGACTTGCTCTAAACTTTATTTCATCTCTTTAAAATTATGTGTATGATGTAAGAACGATTTTTTTTAAGCTGTCTACAGCTGTAAGATGGGCAGTGAACTATCATTAGACTTTGGAAAGTATTGTTTATTATACAACAAAAAGGTCTGTTCTTAAAAAACAGTTCTTAAAAAAATTTGGAATGCACCCAAATTTTAACAGAATAGTAAAATTTAACTTCTAACAATGAAAATTTGGATTTTTTTGGATAGTAAAAATGATCTATAGGCTCTATATTGCCACTTGATCATTTCAAAAGGACAGAAATTGACAATATCAACCAAATGTTTAAGCCAATCAGAGGCAAGGCCCTTAGTTCCTGTTACTGTTTTCTGATCTTAACCCATACTATTTTAGCTGACACATGAATCCTTTTTCTTTTTTTTTTTTTTTAAAGCTACTGATTTTAAGAGTCCCAAACGTAAACGTACAACAGACATACTTGGTGAATTTTTTTAGACAGTGGTAGCATCTACACTACACTGAAAGCTACTGCCATCCTTACCAGTCCCAGAAATCCATCTCCAAGTATTTTCAGAAGGGGAGACCCAAACACAGTAGCCACAGTACCTTCCATTAAAGGTCCTGAAAATGACCTACTGGAACTGTTGGAGTTCAGACACTGTCATTATGAAGCTATATAAACAAGACATGTAAAATAAATACATATCCCAATCAACATTTCTTCTATTTTTTTGTCTTTTATAAAATCTTGTACTAATTTGTGCTTTCTGAGTTTTGTTTTGAGCAAATATAAAATTAAAATTCACTAAAATAAAAAAAAATATATTTTCAATCAGAACCAAGAACTTACAACAGCATTAAGTTGGAGGCTTGCATTGTTCCCAATTTTGTAAATATTTCATGCAACAATAAAGGCAGTATCAGTAAAAAGAAGCTAAGTAACACTAAGTTGTGATAGGATAGCCCAGAACTGCATGATATTACAAAGAGATTTCTTAATTCTATTAGTTGAGGTCACTTATTGCCTTCAAAACTCTGTTTTTCTGTGAAATTGGGAGGAAATTCAGAGTCTTTGCACCAGTCCTTTCAGAATTAGGGTGCATCAGTTCTTTTACATACCTTTTCAGGATAAAGTACTGTCCAAGCTAATAACTATCCAGACAATAACATTTTCTACAACTCAGAAAAATGAAAGGATAATGCATTGTGAACTCCTGGTTTGGTTTAACCTCTGCTTCACCACTATAACAAACAAGTAACAGTGTTCTGTAACTACAGCTTCTTGCTCTCCATTTTGTTCTCAGTGAAGTCAGTAGAAATGTTGACAAGAGCAGCAGAATCAGGTCCTTTGTCCAGAGGCAAATCTCAGAAATTCTGTAGTTTCCAGGAGAAAACTAAATTGAGGTTTCATGTGAAATTTGAGCAGGGACAGTTTTGTGCCTTTTCAGCTGAACAAGTTTATTGGCAGAACAGATAAAATGCTTATTCTTGCAAGCACTTTATAAAGTCAGACTTTCTCTACGCCCATATGGCAAGGTACTAACACTTGTTTCTGTTGTATTTTACACATTCATACCTCCAAGAAGAACACGGGAACTGACTCTCTTGCCTCTAAACATACTCAAACCCAAAGAATTAAAAACAGAATCCAGCTATCTTGCTACTTTTTGACTTTCACAKGAAATCAAAATATATAAATGCATAGTTGAGAACTCCTTGAAAGAAAGAACACTATGACTTTATTTTGAAATAGAAAATTCTTTAAGGACAAGTCAGTATAGGTAAAGTATCTTGTTATCTGCATCAGAAGCCAGAAATAGATCTAAATATGTAAAATTAAGGTATTGTTTGTTCCTAAAACAATTCCTTTGCACTCTCATTGAAGCAGGATACGGAATTCTGGAGTGGTTTTCCTAGCACATACCAGCAGCTGCACTCACATCTCCTGGGCTCTCTGTCCTGAACCTGAAGTACTTTTACCAAACCTAGGAGAAAGCAAAAGTGCAGAGCCAGTCAGAGTTGTGCCAGTTACTGAGCTTTGTCCTGCCCCCGCCGCCCCTTGCTCACTAGTCTATGTGAGAACTCATTCTTTAAATACAGCCCCAGAGACAACAGAGCATGGTATTTCAGCGAGTAATCCAGTGTGAAGTTGGAGGGCTAATCCTGTGCCTCAGTCTTACTAGCTGAAAACCTTGTTGGGTCAAGACCAGTTCAGTCGTGGAAGTTTACCTCTGATTTTGCTATAAAGGCTATATAGGTTTTACCGATCGTGCTATGACTGAGTACACCCAGTGTTCGTTTTCAGTGCACTCTGAGGCTTTCCTTTGCCACAGGCTGGCAGGGCATATTGTGCCTGTAATATCATCCTCTGGTTTGTCAGCTGTGCATTGATTAAGACACAGATGAGCCATATGCTCGTGAACTAAGCTATGCAGTGGCTTTTGGGGGAGGTTCAGCTGCAAGGAATTTTACAAATGCCAGCTCAGATTTTCCTTTGAACTGCATTAGCCATAAATATGGATTATTTCTGTAGGTCTTGCATATGGAGAATTCAATCTGCTTTAAAGGTTGAGCAGCAAAATATAAACATAATTATTTGTCAGACAGATGAGTCACTTTGGTCATGTGACCTAATCRAAGTGCAGAGTAAGTTAAATATTCCCATTCATGTCTGCACACAACTTCTACCATTATGTGTATACACACACACTTCTACGTAACATACACACAAAAAAGCTTGCAAATTTTGTACAGCTTCATTAGATCATTTTGCTTGAATAGTGAACAAGCAAATCACTTTTTAAATGGAAGGATAATTCATTCAGTTTCACGGCTAAAATCAAGTGTGAAGTTATTGTTTCCTGCTATCTGAGAATAAGTGTTACCTAAAAACATAAATTTCTTAATTTTATCAGGCCAGTTACCATTCATTGCTTAAAAAGGAACTAGCAATTAATTAGTGTATGTAAATCAGCTGAGACAGAAGAATATAAATTCCTGTTCTGCACAGAATAATAGTTATTTTCTAATAATACATATCACTGGCCCATCTGATTTGAAAAAGTCACGTTCTCCACTGATGAAAATCTCAATACTTACAATATTTGTTGTGCATTTTATGATTACTCTTAATGCCCTTACAAACACATGTAATAAAATGCTAACAAACCATCATCCATTACTTAATTATATTTATCTAGACAGATAATGTTTGGGAGGGGGTCTGTGATAAAAAAAACTGTTTCCCATTTAGCAAACAAAGACTAAATTTACAGCTTAATTATTCCTTGTAGTGCTGTAGAGAGATTTTCCTGTTAATCAGGTCCAGTGTGTGTTTTTTTTTTTTTTTTGTACTGAGGCTTAAAACATGTGTTGACTCCCAATTAAATCAACTTCCCCTCCAGTAGGAGAGTTACTAATGGGATTTAAATGTTTGTGAGACTTCACTGGGACACACACAGGGAGCTTTTCCGACAGTGATGAAACACCTTCTATAAGGAAAGACAAATATCTCAGAAAATGATGCTAGAGCTTTAGAAACTTTGCCTATGGAAAATAACAGAATAATTCATCTTAATTAATAAAAATACCTCTACGTTTCATCAATCAAGTGAAAGAAAAATACAGGTCAGTTCCAGAAACCCTTATTCATGAGAGCATCTCATTGATTCCAGATCACCTGTCTGCACAGTGATGCTTCAATGATTTAAGACTGCACTATTAGTTCTTTTTATTCTGAAAGCTTGAAATTATGTTTTCCTCAGAAATCTGTGACAGCAGCCACAGAACTGAATTTGAGGGCACTGGAAATGAAACGTAAAATCAGAAATTTCATTTTTACACAGTGTTCTAGTCCTTTAGCTTGCAAAAATAAGTGCTTACTGAAAAGCATCATCACACACTCTTCATACTGCATTCTTCAGCAGTAACTGACCACGAATATTCCATGCGGTGAATGCATCATCTGTAAAATCAGTCCCATTATATTTGTACAGTAGCTCACAGCAATACGTACTGGTTAGCCGGTCTGCCTTGGCTCTAACCAGCTCTGATTTGAGCTTTAAGGGATGACTGAATTCTGAATATGCATTAATGAACTGTCACTTACTTGCTCTTCATATGAAAATAAGCAGGTAGAAAACAGCTTGCTAAGCACCGGTAAGGAACATCAGAAGAAGATGTTTTGACTTAAGAGTATCTAAAATACATTCATATAAGCTATGACCCAACTAGAAAAAGCTTAATTCAAAAACCTGTACATAGGTATTGCTGAGATCTCATTTATTAGCCTCAGTGAAATGCTGGATTTATCATCTTTGCCACAGGCTCAAACCTGTGTTACCAGATCACTTACGTAAAACTAGAAATTTACTACTTGCCATGCATTTTCTGGAAAGCAGTATACTTCTTAGGTGGCTTATTATAAAGCACTGAACAATTATCTCTTCTTGTAGTTCCTGATGACATCTTTGCGTTTGAATAGACTGTATTGCAAGGAAAACAGATGGAAAGGTTTTTCTTTGCTTCTTTAAAATAACATGCAAACTACAAAGCAAAAGATTGTTTCAGTCATTTTCTATACCTTGTGTTATATAAAAGAATAACAACAAAGAAGTAATAGTCAACACTTTATAGTTGCACCAAAGTAATGACAGAAAGGGGTGTGATTTGTTTTTAATACTTTTACCACGTCAGAAAATCTCTTAGTATATAATGCCAAGAGTATCCATGGCAGATAAACCATATACCTTACTCTAAAAGGTGCACTATATGAGAACTATTTGCTTTATAGGAATAAGCYGAATCAGTATAAAAAAATTCATATGGATCCACGTCCACATTAAGAAAACTTTTTTTTCTACTTTTCATTAAATCAGTATAATGCAAGAGCACTAGTTTTTTCAAAAAGTCCCATTTAATTCAGAATTGTTTTACTGATCAGTAGAAAAGCTGAAAAATGARCAAAACAAAAACAGGAATAAGAGCTGAAAAGTGAGTTTTGTGGGAAACTGTATATACATAACACACAAGTAGTAATAAAAGATTTTAAAAAGCATATATTAACCATAGGAATGCCTTGAATCAATTTAAAGATGTTAAGCTGCAGTACAAGTTACACTACTGCAAAACACAGAAGCAATTAAAGCCTCTTAAAAGCCTTGCTAAAGACAACCAACTTCCACAAGACAAAAAATATCAAAGTCATTACTGATCGTGTGTTCCCTTCAGACCAAAGTCTTTCCAGACACTGATCAAATATTAAACATAAGAACAGTCAAACTGACTGAGAGTAAAATCTCTACGCTTGAAATAGCTACTTCAGAAGCCTTTCACTTTATACTTTTACACCTGACGAGAAGGGGAAGAGAAGGAAAACACACCAGTTTCTGACAAGCTATTCAGAAATAGTGCCCTCATAGTAACATTCCTCCTTATCTGACAGTAACTTAGCGTATCAAATGAAGAAATTAAGAACCTTGAATATAGTAATTTGAAAAGCCGATTCTTTGTTCCCCAAGTTAAGTTGATGTGCAAACGTTACCGACCTTATTTAAATTGTAAGAATAATTATGGTTCAGGAAAGCTCCTAATCACATGAAGTCAGTAGCTTGAAATACCTAAGTGCTTTCCTGAAATAGGCCTTAATAGGTGAAAGTTAATGTATGATGATGATATGGAAAGCATCTGAATAATTTCACACCTATTTATAGTCCAGAGTGCCATAGACTCTCACATAAAGGAGTTCATTTAACTTTAGATTTCCCACTAACAGGTGGCGTTGTTTCCTATGATATGGCAGTTGTATCAAAAAGCTTATCAGATGTTATTCATTCTGTGCAAAGTCTTAAAGGCAAAGTCTCAGATACTGCTTTAAAAGTGATATACAAAGCCAGAGGAGGACAGCATCTTCTGAACAGAAATTGGCTATTAGAAAATGAAATTAAAAATTCTTTTGTACTAAATACAAACTAATTAATGCTATGTAAGCTAAAAACACTTCTCTGACATGTCACAGGCTCATAAAAATTCTTCTAGCAGATTTAAAAGGTAAAATCTGCTATGTTTATATTGATGATACAATCATTTTCTCTTAGGACTTGGATCAGCATTTAGTGAATAATAACAGCTGTACTATGAAAATTACAGTCTTTGAGCCCAACTCTAAACCTTACAAATGAAGATGCTATAAAATATAGTCTGTAGCATATTTTATCAAAAAACAAATGGGTTTTAGACCAGACAGTTTTTTGTTTTTTTTTGTTTTCATGCTTCTTATGCTTTGAAATATGAAGCAAATCCAGCCRTCTTGGTTTTACAAATCAGTATCATCTATATACCCTAATTATCTACCCTTGAAGAGCATGTTAAAAATGTAATGGGTAGAAAAATAATCTAATAGAAAGACAAGCATAGCAAAGTTCTAAAATTTCTTAAAACCCGCCCAATTAATAATCTGTTTAAAAAAGGTATGCTTTTTAAACACTTACTTGTATAAATGCTACTCAATAGCAGTTTTACAGACCTTGAAGAATTGTTTCAATATCTCGATATACATGAGAAAACATTTGTTCCTCATACTGATCTCATAACATTACAGAATACAGTAACACTACAAGAAAATTCAATTAAAAAAAAAGTGGTCATGCATTTACAGACTTCAACCAATGCTTCATAAAAATATTTTAGTCGCTGTTAAATCAAAAACCCCAGCAAATTAAGCCACATTACAGGGAATTTCCTCCAATAAAAATAGCAGTAAAAACACATAGTTTCCTATACAATTAGATTGGGATTTCCAAAACTGCTCAGTATTAGCCCTGACTTTTCTCCTAATTAAATCAATAACTGACTCAAGGGAGAAAACGATGCTACGCTAGGAGCACCTAGCTACACTAGCGTTGGAGTGGCTGTCATGTTAGGAGCTAAATTCATGTTAGGAAATGGGAATTTGTTGAAACCATTGTGTTACGTGCAGGCCAGCCAG